ACCGGCTTCCTCTTGGCTTTCCTTTAAAACAACCCCAATAGGGTACTTTAGAAAAGACAAGGTGCCTCAACAAAGACACCCATGGGTTGATGGCTCCAGGTTCTGGTCGTTTCCAAGCACTCGGTGCCAAGTTGGTGTTCGATCAGGGCCAGGTCAAGCCATGGCGTGCGATGCGCATTGTGAGGATCAGGCGATGCGCAATCTGCCATGTGAACATGGCGGCAACAAGAAGCTACCATTGACATGAAACAACATGAAAGCACCATGGAAGAACATGAAATTTGGATTTGAAACAACACGAAGCACACCTTGCCGAACTGTGATGCCAACTGGCCAGATTTTGCAAACTCTCTAGTGTCACGCTCGGATATGATGAATCGTTTGCTGAACGCATCAAGGAGGCGGTTTCAGTCAAGAGCATAGTTGAAGAAATAAGGTTTTGACCCATTTGCCATCATACTTGGAATTCCTTGAGAAAACAAGTTTCTCCAACATATCCTGGACGCCCAAATAGGTGCTGAAAGGCAGGCTGGACAAGGTCCTTAGGCATCCACTTGGCGCTGAATCCCTTCCTCGCTGAAGCTCCACTTGACGCTGAAGTCAGCCGACTGTCGCAACCTGACCCTCCCATCTTACTCTGGCCGGGCACAGCCATGAAGAGTGCCCTTCTCATTGCAGTGAAAGGACGGGCGTGCAAAGGAGCCACAAGAGCTCCAGGTCGGGGCGGGGACTGGAACTTCGATGTCATAAATCGGCAGAGGGAGGTACGGGCGGTCTCCTTCGGGCATTGCCCGGCCCACAGTGCTTGTCTTATCTTTTCTTTACGTTGTGCAAGCAGAATGTGCAATTTGTCTTTCCTCAGAGTGGTTGCAGTTTCGTTTTGTTCTTTCACGATGGAACAAGGTTCAGTGGTTCAGCAGCTGCGGTTCAGCCTTGTTCTGTTCGATTGAGAACTGAAGCCTGACGGATGATATGTTTGTTGGTTTCCTACAGAACTGGTTACTGGAATCGCAGGGTTTCTTATGTTTAGTTTCTTTTTGTCTTTGGTTTCAAGTAATCTAAGAAGGCAGCTGCAGGAATTCTGCTGGAAATCCTTGTTTTCGTGGGGTGTTCGACACATTCCCTGTAGAACTGAAATACCGGTAGCTGGTTTCTGTGAAACAAGGCGATGGGTTTCTGGATCGGGCCGGTGTTTCCACGGTCGGGCGGCCCCGGAAGGCCTGGCGAGTCGCCAGCGAGTGAGCGCAGGGTCTGGCAAACCGACGATCTCTCCGGTGCCCTTTTGCTCTTAGCTTTCCTTTGAAATGAACCACATGTGCCCCGTTTTCATGGACATGCAGAGGTCAAAGCTTAGATTTCTTGCGCGGAGCCTTTGGGCCTGGTTCCAAACCGTTGTGGACCCTTCCGTCCGCGGGTTGCAGCGGCCGCGCGAAAGTGCGAGCGCATGTGCCGGCGAAACTTTGCGGGCGAAAAGCAATTGGCGATGTCGGATTTGGAATCAGCGGAACTTTTCTTTAGGGAGGCCGTTAAAGAGCAAAGACATCATTTGGATTTGACCCCAATTTTTGATGTGGGCACACACACAGAGATCGCTCCGCACGCACGCGCGTGCACGCGCATGCAAGCGCACGCACGCATATGCACACATGATTGCGCACCCCCACCCCCACCCGCACCCGCACGCGCACGCGCACGCGCACGCACACTCACGCACGCACGCACGCACGCACAACGCATTTATGCTGTTTCTCAACTGTTTCTCAACAATGAGACTTCAGCTGTTTATTCAGTTTGTTCTCTAAGCTGAACCAAGGCAGGAAAATGCGCTTTGTTCTCAAAACGAAGCAAAGTCAACCCACGACTGGCCAGGGAGCCATTGAGCTGCAGCCCAAGGGAGCACTTGAACACCGACCTAACTCAGGGCATGCCGTCTTGTTCTTGACTTTTTTTGTTCAAAGGCAGTGCTTGCAGCTGGGGCACTTGGCTCCAAAGGAGCCTGGATCCTTTCTGAAGATGTGCAGCAACAGATTGCTTGCCACAACGCTGTTGCCGAGAGCCATGTAAACTCATTCGACCTGTCGACACTTGCTTTTTGTTGCTCAGCCTTGATGCATGTGGTGGCATGATCCAGCAAGGCTAACCTCTCATTTTCGAGTCCTTTGAACACATAGGGTTTGGTTGGGCTTAAGACCACTCTGACCCGTGTCTCTCAACCAAGTCGTCTCAGGTCGATGCTTTGAGAGCCAGTGGCCTTTCCGCGGCGCACGGTTGTACCATATTGGTTCCCACTGGTTTTAAATCCTGCCCTATCATTAAATCTCGCCCCATTAATAAATCATTTGTGATATTTAGTGATATTTATTTGGAAAGCATATTTGTGAAAAGGGTTCCAGAGTTCCAGGCCGTTTCCACCACGGTCCTCGTCCAAATACTGTCCCCCTTTGCCGGGCGCAAACACGGTCAAAATTGTATTCTGGCGAGTAAGGATTTGATATGCTCAAGGCACCTTGTTGAATTTGTCAATTCCAAATTAAGGGGCAAAATTAACATTGCAATTTGCTATTTGAGTTTATGGCTGAAAATCAACAGAAGGGACGTGCTGCAAGTCCCCCCCAATAAGGGCTGTCAGAAGTTTAGCATTCGCAATGGTTTAGTATTGGATCACTTAACGTAAAGGGGGCAATGTGACTTCTTGGATTTGTTCTGACAACATATACTTAGTACCGGTTTGGATGTAGAATACACAGAGCAGCTTTATAGCCGATACTGATTGAGTGGCTGCTCGGCTGAGATTGCTGACATCCGGCTGTTGGCGTGTGCCTTTGTTCAATAGACTGGACTACAGCAATGCCATATGCTTCGCCCATGAACCTAAGTGATGCCACGCGCTGCATGCATTGCCATCACTCTGAAACATGTTTGGAATACTTGTAGCATCAGGAAGTATCGGATCTTTGCTACTGTGAATTAAACAGCCTGACACGCAATGCAAACCAGTGCAAGCACATACGTGTGGACCTTGACACATGTTCAACAGGCATGCTGCTTTTGCCTTATCCCTATCAGACTTCTTGTATTGTGTATCTTTCACTCGCCTGAACCAGTGTGTTTCCTTGGCGCATCCTTGAGACTTAACATTCAATCTGTGCAGATTTCATGGTTTGCCATGGCGGCGGGCTATCGCGTCGCGCAAGCGGGGACCTATTTTCACATCATATTTGTCATTTTACAACTATTTCTTTGCGGTTTTGGCAATGTACAATAACAGTGTTTGCATTGGTTGTCTGACAAAGGTGTGCTTGGTTCGCACATGTTTGGGCAATTTGTTCAGCAATCTGGCAAAGGGGATTGCGACGATGAAAGCTATCTAAACATGGGGTGTCTTTGTTGGAGGCTGACCCTTTTATGGTTGGTCCAAGGGGAAACCAATGGAAAACCAATCGTTTTGGTTCCATCATTTGGAGAGAAACGCACATGTCTTTCTACGGGAAAAAACATGGCAGCCTCGGAGGAAGCACGGTTGCAAATTTAGCAAACCACACATGTTACTGGTAACACATGGGAATGGATGAAACAGTTGACTATCATGATGCCCTTGAAGTAGGACTTGGGAACCGTGTTGTCCAGGAGAGGTGCTTAAGTCTGGGGTGCTCTTGAATAGACTGACCTTCGCCTGCAAGCTTCGGCAAGAGCAGGGAGTGGCTGCAAAGCGTGGTAAAACCTTCCTGAGGCGTATAGGGTTGAATCAAACCGGGGTCTCTGTATGGGTATGTCATGGTACGTCTCAACATTAGCAACCTCTCCAAGTGGTTGTTTTCACATTAGTTTCTTTTGGTCTCCCTTTGGTTTTCCATTTCCTTTTACGCATCCTTGGGGTACGACCCTGAACGCCAGGCAAGTTGCACTTCCCCTCTCCACTAAAGGGTTAACTATTCTGAGTCGGTTGGTGACCAGAGAGTAAGGGCGTGTGAGCAGGTCTTGCCAGAATAGACCTTGATTTCCTTGCAAATTCGTCCTTTCCTTGTCTCCTGCAAAAATGGCGCTGGTCTGTGGTGTGACCGAATCGTCCCGACCTTTCGGAAACTTCCTTTTCCATAAACTGCCAAAGGTCCAACAACCTTTTTTCTCAGCAAAAGAACGCCACCCTAAGAACAACCCAGCTACTCCAGAGAAGCAACCCACCCCAATAAAACACAAAGGCTTCGATCAACCAACAAGCACCACCCCAACCAACTACTCCCAGCAGCGGTTTCCAGAAGCCCAGGCCGAAACTCGCCTGCAGCCTTCAGTGCTGTGGGCCCAGCGCAAAGACTCGGTCTTTGTGACCGTCGACGTCAAGGCGCGGCATCGGCTTTCTGGACATAGTACATGTATGCGCAATATATTAAGATAATATATATATATATATACACATACATAATATTATATTATATGTATGCATACATACATGCATAGATAGATATGCACATATATAGTTCCATAAACGAGTGCAAGCTGGCTAGACACACTACCGCGTGTGGTGTCAGGCAAAAGTTCTGGTTCACAATGTTGCTTGGGTTAGCAGGGATGGTCATTTTCCTGTTCATAGGGATTCCAGATAGCGGGCGGTCGCCAGAGTCTCGATGAAGCGAACCGTGGTCATGATGCGAGGAGTCGTTTACCAGCTCATCCATAGCGAGGTTGCCTTGTTTGATGCGGGCAGGCCTGAAGGAGTATCGTTGCCAGGAGGATCATCATAAAGCATGCATAATGGGCCAGTGAGAGTGGCGTCACGAGCAGACAGGTCACGAGCGATGTTGACCCGCGTTCCCTTGTTCAAGGCCGTGGCATCATAGCTCACAATGCTCTTTTCAATTAGTTTATTGCTTCCAGGCAGGCCGGCATAGTAAGTAGGAAGGCATGGATCATCCAGGACAGCCATACCTGCTTGAGTGGCAACTGGAAGCACTGTTTGTCTATCTTTGTTGCATGGGAACTTGTAGGCCATCCCCAAGATGTGTCCCCTCTCGCCTCGCAAGCGCTGGAGGATGCGGCGGATGTCCAGATCCAGCTTGAGGATGCCAGCCGCTGGGCGAAGGAAGCAGTAAAACGCCCATGCAAATGGCTTTCCCGTTGCATGACTTCAACCTGTTGGTTGTGACAACTTTCTTTATCATTCAATCACACTATTTTTTGGCTTTACCGTATGTCACAGGGCTGTTGCCAATCAAGCGTTGCCGAGTTATGCCAAACTCCCAATCCGATGTTCAACGTAAGAATTAGAAGCGTCAACTGTGTACTTCTTGGAAGCTGACCATGTGGCAGTCATCATCGTCGGTGGACCTGTTGTCAGCACCACTGTTTGGTAGCCAGAAGACGCCATGAAACGTGATAACTTGGACCAATATACTTGCATTATGCTTTCAAAGCTGCTAGCGCGAAAGCAGCAAGAGTGGCTACAGATGTTTGGACACCGACGGGATTAGTCTCCAAGTTTGTGTCACATGCTGGGATTACACTGACCGGGGAACGTCGTTCACCTTTTGGGTTGTTTCAAGGGACCTTGTCTATGCGCCAGTATTCGGGGTGGTTGGCCATACATGGCACATTCCAATGACTGGAATCCAGTGAGCAACATGATACATTCCCACATTCATAGAAGGCGCCGACTCCAATCAAAGCTCCCCTTCGACACCTTGGTTTGTTTTTTGCTTTTCGGCGATCAAATGCTTCAGCGAGGCCTCGACTTCTTTGCGAAGAGCGGCGAGGCCGGATGGGAACAGTGAATATGTGGCTGTGGGTCAAAACCAATGGTACCATTTTGGGGTAGGTGCACCACCCATTTTAGTCTATTTCAGTGGGGATTGGGATGTTGACTGGGGGTACGGGGTTTTGACCCATGGCCATTTGATTCCTAGATACCCCATGGTACCCCAGTACACATACTAATAATACGTATGTCGTGTCACTTTTTGGCGAATAATTCCCCACCACCTGGCCCAAGGAACGGAGTCCTCTGGGATAATCTCTTCCACGACCAATCACATGATTTGGTACTGTTGGAGTTGCGCAAAAGCGTTCTGCTGAGATTCATAGAAACTGTTAATCTCAATAATTGTCCCTTTTCTGTTGCTTAAGATTTCTGCTCAGACTAATTCTCAAATGTTTGTGTTTGATGTGTTTGCATTCATTCAGTGTTGACGATGCTTGCTGTTCAAGTCCAATTAAACTTGGATTTGCGAATTTCCATTTGGTTTACTTTGGCTGTAGTACTGCTGGTTCTGATTGCTTCACTTTTGAAATGTCAATTGACTTGGGATTGCTTTGATAGTTCAACCCCTTAGGACTCGTTGCTAGGGTCACAGTAGCCGAGGAGGGCTCTGCCTACGCTTTCCACCTGGACCTCTTTGCCCCCATCCGGCGGGAGGAGCCCGATTCGCCAAAAAGAAACGTCGAACAGGGAGGGAAATGTCGACCTTGATTTAGAAAAACATGTTTTGTTGTGAGGGAGGGGGTGCTTTTCTCTGAAGAGTCAGATTGATCTCTGAAATGCGGTACTCCTCCCTATGAATCAACCTGGGGTTTGCTAATTTTGAGTCAAGATTAGCAGGGAAGCTCCCTTCGGGTCAATTAGGCATCAGAAGGGTGTGGTTCCCCTCATTCTTTAATAGCTGCGAATGTGAGCGGTGAGGTTGCTTGTCAAGCTGTTTTCTGCAGGACGAGATGCGCACCTTTCAACACCTGGTTGAACGACCTTTGTAGTAAAACATACATACAAATATACATAAATATATATATATATATGTGCACCTTTACTAGCATCTGAAGGTTTAAGACGCCGCTCATGTGTTTTATCCGCTAATCTGTGACAAGCTCAATTTATGGAGCCAGCACAGCCATTGATTTTTCTCGCCGAATGGGTGCGGTCTTTGGCTTTTCGGGCTAGTCAGCGAAGGGCCTGGGCCACACCATGGTTCGATCTGGCCTAAGTTCCTCGACTTTTGTGCCGTCTTCTTCAATACTCTTTGATACCTTAGGATAGATCTAATATGAATCACAACCTGAACACATGAGACGGTTTGTATGCACCCCAGATCTGGGCCGCCCAAAGGGACACATGTTTCAATGAGTTTCCCTCGACTTGGCTGAGGAGTCCAAGTTCAGCACTAAGAGATGCCCAGTGCCATGCCGGCGAGCTTGGGACTGGCGTCACCCCGACCGGCTGAAATCGATGGATGCATCGATTTCGGGCCAGGCTCTTTGGGGAACCCTGGTGGATGGTGGGCGAAGTATCATTCCAGAAGCCATGAAGAAGTGACCCTTTCACGAGCCTGCCCGTTCGCTTCCATGATTGAGGGAAAGGGGATAGCATGAGGATGTAATACTTATGTCAGTTAACGTTTGCGGGGGTTCCGCGGCCGAAGTGTACAAAGAGAGTTGGCATCACAACTAGTGAGGCTGCGAACAGGTTGCTTGCTATGAACTGAAAAATGCATTGGCAAACAACGTGCTTGCTGAGGTTGGCAGGGATGGTCACGAACTTCCGAATAGCAAATTTAGACAGCCACTGAGGAATGGTATTGAGGGACTATGACCCATAGGAGTTTTGAGCATAAACATATGTTGTTTGCGTAATCCTTCCCCCCTCCCAAAAAGAAAGAGTCCCCCCCCCACCCCTAAAATAAAAAACCTCGGAGGGAGTTGTATTATTAGTGGTCGCAGGTTTCTGTTGGACACATAGCTTGGAACCTTCTTGTTCCAACACATTATGGAGGGGGAGCCCCAAAAAGCACATTTTGAGAGCTTGGTGGAAAACGCGTTTGGTCTCAGGAGTTTGTATTGGTTTATAAGCCTATTTTAAATTAGTATTTGCGATTTTTGGCGCGGCTGAGGGGAGTTTTATTGTTTAGGGGTAGGTCGACTAATAGGAAGAAGTGATTACAAGAAGGGAGTGATGCCTGAGGCTAAATTATGGGAAGCCGGGGCGGAGAAGGGGGTTCGGGGTGTTGGATCCTAGCCAAGGTAAAGGTTCCACCAGAAAGGCGGCCATCCTCTTCTCATTTGCTTGTCAGTTTGCTCGGTACCCTGATGGGGTTCTCATGAGAGGCTTACAAGGGTGGCCACATGTCGACTTGGGGGGCTTGCAAATTCCTGTGAGTCAAACTCACTATGCTGCTTGAGAAGACCCTATTTTGGCCAATCCACTCGTAGAGGAAAACTACCCACTGGTGACCTAAACGGAGAAGATGTCGATTCAAAGTGACAGGCACGCTGGTAAGGAGACACCTCAGAATCAAGGCCTACCCATCAGCCATTGGCCATTTTTCGGAAAGAAGGGTACCTGGAAAAAAATGAGGGGAAGTACAGCCGGAACTTCTGAGCTCCCAATCGGCAACTGGGAAGTAACAACTCACATCTCAACCAATTGATTCGGAAGATCTCTGGTAGAGCCGCTGATTTTTGGATGCACCTTTTAAGGGACCCTCTTCGCCCCAGTCCCTCAGTCGCCAGGTTCTTCCTTCGGAAGGGCGTCAGCGAGACGTGGCGCCACCCCCAGACGGGAGTGCGGCATGTGCAACAGAAGGCATGTAAGCGGGTGAAGCAACTATTTTCAAAAACCTCACACGCAGCTGAGGTGTAGCAGAGACGTCCCTACACCTCAGAGAAACAAAGAAAGAAACAAAGAAGGGACTGGGGAAGGCAGGGTTGGGGAAAGGTTATGGGGCAGCCAGGACTAGGGATGACTCTCCAGCCATACGAATCTGCCCCGCCTGCACCCTTTCGGCCGGCCACCTGTTGAACAGAATCAGTTTTGGGGTCTCTTGTCTGGGTGCCAAACAAGTCAACACATCTGAGGTCCTTCCTCTATAGCAGAGTATGTGAGGGAGGCCGGCGAATATGCATGGAAGGGCAACAAAGTCAGGTTGGGGGTAACAACCTGTCTGTGTCGCGAAAACGATGTGGACCCCGTTTATGACGCTCAAACAGACTTATGCATGAAATTTGGGACCTTTGCCAAGGCCGCGGCTCCAGAAGGAAGGAAAGTTCCCATGGGTCCGTGCCCCAGTCAGGTTGCCACTTGCCACTTGCGCCTGACTCATTCTCCCCTTCGGCAAGAGAAACCAAGACGAGGAACCTCACATAAGTGATGCCCAAAGGGTGCATTGCTATATATCATGTGGGGTTTCAGGTGGTTGAAAGCTAGCTTGGGGCTGTCCCAACCCTCGGTTTAGGGCACGGAAGAGGGGAAGCTGGCTTCCAAGTCACGGAGCCCTACGCGAGCGGAGCTTCTAACATCTACACGAAGGGAGAGAGAGAGAGAGAGAGAGAGAGAGAGAGAGAGAGAGAGACTGAGAGAGAGGAAAACAAAATATATAGAACGATAGAGAGATAGCGAGAGAGAGAGGGGAGCAGAGAAGAGAGACGAGCTCAAAGTCACCTTGTGTGCTGAGCCGCAGGGCCAGTGGCCAGCCGAAGGTTCCCCCCTGACAGCGAAAGGAAGACAGATAGAGAGGAGAGAGTGAGAGAGAGAGAGAGAGAAGGAGAAAAAAAGAGAGAGCGCCTGAGAGCACACATGTGGATTAGTTGGAGGTGCATCCCACTTAGTAGGTCTTGAATATGTGTAATTGGAATCATCAGTGTTAGTCCTGTGCATGGGATGAACCTCCAAGTACAAACCACCTGCTCGTACAGGAAGCTTTACAAGCGAATTACCCGGCCCAGTTTGGCGAATTTCCTATAGAATTCGCGGATTTCCTTAGCTGGCTCAGGTGAAAATTGACTGGAACAGGTGGGTGGCGAGCCTAGCGGACAGAAGTGAGCTTGAGTTCAGAGCCTGTGAGTCAGATGAAAACTTGGCCCAGACGTTTGTTATGTGTGCAATTGTCGAAACAGCCCTTTACTCCCTCCCCTTGTGCTTAGGAGGGGAAGGGATGGGGGACCTCTTCATACATGATCATGGACCTCTCGGGGTACTCTCAGTCCCAATAATTCCCACTCCAAAGGGCGGTTTCTGTTAGCC